TTTTTTTTACTCCCACTTACCCCGACCTCTCTCTACTGGCGAAACTCCCCCTTTGGAGTGACAATTTCTGACTCCAGGGATGCAGACAACGTCTTTACCCCCGCGCGAGACAAGTGTACTCCGTCACGACTGTACAGTGTACAGGTAGTCGTTGCCATAGAATTGTCACCAGTTATCAATGAATGCCCAACCATTGCTTGCCCTTGACAACCATTCACCACCAACTCCTCTTCTAGGCAAGACACCACATACTATCGGGATCCTTCCCCTATGTCTAACCTTCCCCAGCGCCTCCCTATACCGCTTGAAAAGTTCATCACTCCTAACCGTTCCTATGTCGTTTCCTCCCACACTAAGATACACTACTGGCTTGGTACCCTCCCCTGACAAAACCCTGTCTATCCTCTCAGCTACATGCCCTATCGCAGCCCCAGGAAAACACACCCTAGTCCTACGTTTCCTATCTCTTGCACAAAAAAATCCTATCTAAAAACCTCATCTGGCTGTCCCAACTACCACGACCAACGGTGAGACTCCTCCTGGCGCCACCCACCATCATGTTGGAGGAGTCAGGATAATTAACCTCTGGGTCTTCTACTCGATTGTCGAAGGGGGAATTGTATTATTTTGCCTGTGTGTGTGATTCCCTGAACAACACCTGTAAAGAAACAACCTTATAGATTTCACTGACAGCTGCCAGGAGTGCTGGAGGTTGGCCAAGAATGATGTGACGTCATTGTAGAGGGTCAGAGGTTAAGGTCACTCGGTACACAACACTACGAGGTCAATGTGGGTAAAAAATAGGAGGGGTTGATTTGGATGCAGCTTGGCAGGTAGCGTGGGTGATGTCTGGCAGGGCTGAGGAGAACGTTATCTAAATATGGAGAACTTAGGTCAAGGGTCATCGCCTGGTGTGTGTGTGTGTGTGTGTGTGTGTGTGTGTGTGTGTGTGTGTGTGTGTGTGTGTGTGTGTGTGTGTGTGTGTGTGTGTGTGTGTGTGTGTGTGTGTGTGTGTGTGTGTGTGTGTGTGATACAACGTACTTTAAGTCTATAAACATTACCAAATTTCAATCCTGTTTCGTGGTGAGAATGATATTGAGTGTGTGGGGTGGTGCTGGGTGTGTGGGTGTGTGGGTGCTGGGTGTGTGGGGTGGTGCTGGGTGTGGGTGGGGGGTGGTGCTGGGTGTGTGGGGTGGTGCTGGGTGTGTGGGTGGTGCTGGGTGTGTGGGGTGGTGCTGGGTGTGTGGGGTGGTGTTGGGGTGTGTGTGGTGCTGCTGGGTGTGTGGGGTGGTGCTGAGGATGTAGGGTCCCACAGTACCTTCAGGTGAGCTGAAGATAATCGCCTTAAAGGTCACGTCGTCGTACTTTTCTCGTGTGTGTGTGTGTGTGTGTGTGTGTGTGTGTGTGTGTGTGTGTGTGTGTGTGTGTGTGTGTGTGTGTGTGTGTGTGTGTGTGTGTGCCAAGCCCAGGGGGAGGACGTCTTCTCTCCTCACACGCCCATACCTTCACTCTGGATTAATGGTGTTGGAGGGGTCCGAGTTAACGTTAGTCCCTTCCTCCTGGCCACACCTCGCCCACCTCACTAATTTGCTTAGGAAAGTTTCTCTAGGGTAAAATGATACCGGGAGGACGAGCGAAGCGTGTTTGAAAATGACCATGAGAGCGTAGTAAAAATCGCCTGTTAACATTCAGGCCTCGTGCACTGGCATCGATCGGCGGGTGGCTGGCTCGCGCGCGCGTGTGTCTGTGTTTGTGTGTGTGTGTGCGTGCGTGCTAGTGTGTGTATGTGTGTGTGTGTGTGTGTGTGTGTGTGTGTGTGTGTGTGTGTGTGTGTGTTCCAGCGTCGATGTGGGTGTCTGTGTGTACCAACGAACACACTCGGGAAGATCTTGGACCCCATCCATGTGCCATGCAGGTTACGTGAGTGTGTGTTTGTGAGAGTGTGTTTTAGAGGTGGGGGAGGGAGTGTGTTGTGCCACATGAGGTGTGCACACTATTCCAGAACCCTCCTTCAGTCCTCGCTGCCACCAGCACGATGATCCACACCCAACTCCACCACACCATTTGTTATGGACTTAAAACATAGGTGGCGTTTTTGTCAGGGTTCACAAAAGGGTAGTCATTTATTGGTGCCTTTGTGTGCCAAGTGTTTGTGTAGGCAAGGCGAGGAGGGGTGCTAACTGTTTATTATTTAGTGAGGTAGAGGGAGGGAGGTGTTGATGAGTGTGTTAGTAGGGTAGGTGGTAAGTTTGGGTAGGAGGAGGTGGTGACAGGAGCGGCGGCTGGCCGGGGCAGGTGGCAGTAGACTCCTGCCTTCTCAGTGGTGCCAGCCGTACCTTCTTGTGCAGGGTATTGCCCGCCTGACTGCCAGGACCAAGTGCCTTCTCTTGGTGTTTATGCGAGTTTCGGGTTGAGTGCCTGGGGAGGCACTGCCGGGCGCAGGCATCACCAGTCTGGTGTGGCAGGAAATAATCGGCGCAGGACAATGTTGTGTGGCATCGCGCGGCAGTCCGTGGCGCACATGGCGGCAGTTGCTCCAGTGGCGCCTCCGCCGCGGCACTGACATTGTGCCTCCGCCGCCGCTGCTTCTGCCGCTCCCGTCACCGCCACGCTCCCGCCACCACCACTTCCACAGCCACAGTTACCACAGCCACAGACCGTCGACCAAACTTTGCCCTCGTAGGCCTCCGGGCCTGGCGCCCATCCTTGACGCCGGGCAGTCAGCCTGGCCCTGGCTTCGGCGCCACCAGCAACGTCGCATTGCGGCACCCTTAACCCGGGGTGTTACACCTGAGGCCTTACCTGGCCGAGCAGCTGGCGACAACAAGTGGTGAGGAGCAGGAGGAGCAGCAGGGCAACACGTAGAGAGTGTGAGGGGGTGCATGGTAAGGTGTAGCGGGCCCGGGTGTGCCGGGTGCCGTGACCCGTACAAGCACGTGAGTGTGGCTCCCGCCTGGCCCACACCCCACACCTGCTGCCTGCTGGGCCCCACCCCGGCGCACCTGTGGCCCACTCTCACCCTCCACCCTACACTCTCCTTCCGCCCAGTGTGGCACACCAGGTACTGGCGCTGTGTGAGGCTTGCTGCTGGCTCAGTCGGGTGATGGTGGCTCTCGTAGTGATCCTGACTCGGCCCAGGTGTGTGGCACCACCTCAGGGGCATGACCACCGCTCTCACCTGGAGTAACTTACACATTCCTGCCTCCACTCTTTTCTAAAGTACTGTTCAAGTATACCCTTCTGTGATGACTTTCTTACTTTTTGTATTACTTTAGGATAATGCAAAAGACAATCCCTAGTATTTACCCTTTTATATACATGGCTGTGAACTATATTGTGTATATGCTGACCTACTGAACCCTGGCGAGTGATCAGAAAACTACATGTTACGCCCAGCTGGAGCTCTGTACTGTGACCCCCCTCCGGGAAGTGTTAGTGTGTTGTGTACCTGAGTTGGCCATCAGTGGTGTTATGGACCTGAGTTGGCCGTCAGTGATGTTATGGACCTGAGTTGGCCATCAGTGGTGTTATGGACCTGAGTTGGCCATCAGTGGTGTTATGGACCTGAGTTGGCCATCAGTGGTGTTATGGACCTGAGTTGGCCATCAGTGATGTTATGGACCTGAGTTGGCCATCAGTGGTGTTATGGACCTGAGTTGGCCATCGGTGGTGTTATGGACCTGAGTTGGCCATCAGTGGTGTTATGGACCTGAGTTGGCCATCAGTGATGTGATGGACCTGAGTTGGCCATCAGTGGTGTTATGGACCTGAGTTGGCCATCGTGGTGTTATGGACCTGAGTTGGCCATCAGTGGTGTTATGGACCTGAGTTGGCCATCAGTGGTGTTATGGACCTGAGTTGGCCATCGGTGGTGTTATGGACCTGAGTTGGCCATCAGTGGTGTTATGGACCTGAGTTGGCCATCAGTGGTGTTATGGACATGAGTTGGCTATCAGTGGTGTTATGGACATGAGTTGGCCATCAGTGGTGTTATGGTCATGAGTTGGCCATCAGTGGTGTTATGGACTTGAGTTGGCCATCGGTGGTGTTATGGACTTGAGTTGGCCATCAGTGTTTTAGTGTACTTCAGCTGGCCATCAGTGGTGTTGTGTACTTCAGCTGGCCATCAGTGGTGTAGTGTACTTCAGCTGGCCATCAGTGGTGTTGTGTACTTCAGCTGGCCATCAGTGGTGTAGTGTACTTCAGCTGGCCATCAGTGGTGTAGTGTACTTCAGCTGGCCATCAGTGGTGTTGTGTACTTCAGTTGGCCATCAGTGGTGTAGTGTAGCTGGGGCGGCAGTCCCCCCCGGCATGTGAAGGCGCCTTGGCCATCGGGCACCCCGTCCCCGCCCAACATGCGCAAGCTATCCCTGCGCTGCTCACCTACCCCACATACGGTGCCGGGCGTTAGTCCCCCGCTCGCACCTACCCCTCCACCCATTGCGGGCCTTTCACCTACGCCCACGCCGCCCACTACGCCCGCACGTCGTCTGGTTGCCTCGCGCTCTCTGGGTTCAACATCGTCACCTCCGCTGACGCCCCCCGTGTCACAGTACAACATCCCACCGTGCCTGCCCTCACACCAGCACCACGCCCAGCTGCCGCCCACCCCCGGCCCGCCCTCACATCGCTCACTGCCTGCCCTCCACGCCCATCATGTGCAGAACGACGCCCAGGCCCACCATTCCTCTCACCCGACACTGCATGCCCATCATCCTCTCCCAGATGCTCACCCTCACCACTCGTCTCACCCCGTCCTGCTCTCTCAGTCCCCTCACTCCTCCCCACCTGCCAACCGGCCACCTGGACACTTCTCCCATGCCTCAGCGCTCAGCGGGCACCAGCACCCACGGCAGCTGCCCGGCCTTCCGCGGCACCACACCATTGGTGGCGTGGGGAGCGGCCGCATCCTGCCCTCTGCCCCGCACCACGACACGTGTGGTGCCCCCGTGGTCACTACCACCACCCCAGGCAGCCCCGCTCACCCCATCACCACCACCATGTCCAGCCTGGCGGCGCGTCCTGCCCACGTCCTGCACTCCGCCTCCTACAAGTACAGCCTGGACGTGCCCCGCGTCAACTTGCGTGAAATGCGTAGCAACACGTACCCACCCCCGGGCACGGACGGATCTTCGCCTTCCCAGTCCTCCTCCACTAGTGGCGGTGGCTCTGGCGGCTCCCAGAACTCGCCCTCAGACTTGTACCCGCCCTTGTCACCGCGACTGTCGCCTGGCGGGGCGATGCTGGTACTGGCGGGGCGTATGTCACCCCAGGTGCCGCCTACGTCGCCCGCCTCCCTGGTGCCCCCACACTCCCCGGGACCTCGCTCCTCACTCTCATCCTCAGTGTCTTCATCTTGTGCCACCTCGCCCGTGCCCCGCCTTTCTCCGGTGCCCCGCTCACCCGTGCACGCCTCCGTTACTCTCGCACAGTCCGCCCACACCTCCCCCAGCCCAGCCCATGCCTCGCCCAGCCATACCCATGCTTCCCCCATGGCACGAGGCTCACCAGTGCCGCCCACCCGCAGCTCGCCCACGCCCACCTTTCACGGATCACCTGTACGGAGAAAGAGCGTCATGTCGGACCCAGGGTCTCCCATGCTCCGACGGACAACCCGCCCACCCCTGCAGCGCTCTCATGCTACCGCTGGGTAAGATGACCTCACCTTTTTCTTGGGTCCTAGACTGATGATGACAATGTCCACACCCAGCTGCCTCATTTCCACCCCACCCCATCCGTTCTTAACTCCTGTTATACGTATTTTGTCAACACAACTACGTCACTCTTTTCTTTTCCACTTTGTCACAACACAACTACCTAATTCTTCCCCCTCTGTATCCACTCTTGTCAACACAGCCTCACTCGTCGCCTCCACTACACACTTTTCTACCATCCCCCCCCACACAGCCTTTTTTCCACTAGGCACTAAAGACCTATTTCCCCTACGTGACAGCCTTTACCCCCAAGTTTCCTGCACCAGGAACCCTCGTGTCGTATAAGTGGAAACTGAGAGGGAAAGAGTCTCGACCAAATTGACTTTATCTTATACCTGGACAATGTGTTTTACTGTATATTCTGGAGGAGATAATAACCGTGTTGAGTTGTTAGTCTCGCAAGCCAGTCATCTCGGGTTGGTTTCCCTTCCGGAGTGTAGCACTTAGTATACTTCTGGTACACTGTACACTTAGTATACTTTTGGTACACTAGTCACTATACACTTAGTATACTTCTGGTACACTGTACACTTAGTATACTTTTGGTACACTAGTCACTGTACACTTAGTATACTTCTGGTACACTAGTCACTGTACACTTAGTATACTTTTGGTACACTAGTCACTGTACACTTAGTATACTTCTGGTACACTAGTCACTGTACACTTAGTATACTTCTGGTACACTAGTCACTGTACACTTAGTATACTTTTGGTACACTAGTCACTGTACACTTAGTATACTTCTGGTACACTAGTCCCTGTACACTTAGTATACTTCTGGTACACTAGTCACTCTACACTTAGTATACTTCTGGTACACTAGTCCCTGTACACTTAGTATACTTCTGGTACACTAGCCACTGTACACTTAGTATACTTCTGATACACTAGCCACTGTACACTTAGTATACTTCTGATACACTAGTCCCTGTACACTTAGTATACTTCTGATACACTAGTCACTGTACACTTAGTATACTTCTGGTACACTAGCCACTCTACACTTAGTATACTTCTGATACACTAGTCACTGTACACTTAGTATACTTCTGGTACACTAGCCACTGTACACTTAGTATACTTCTGGTACACTAGTCACTGTACACTTAGTATACTTCTGGTACACTAGTCCCTGTACACTTAGTATACTTCTGGTACACTAGTCACTGTACACTTAGTATACTTCTGGTACACTAGCCACTGTACACTTAGTATACTTCTGATACACTAGTCCCTGTACACTTAGTATACTTCTGATACACTAGTCACTGTACACTTAGTATACTTCTGGTACACTAGCCACTCTACACTTAGTATACTTCTGGTACACTAGTCCCTGTACACTTAGTATACTTCTGGTACACTAGTCCCTGTACACTTAGTATGCTTCTGGTACTAGTCCCTGTACACTTAGTATACTTCTGGTACACTGAATCCCCTATTACACTTAGTATACTTCCTGGTACACACTGGTCCTGTACACTTGGTATACTTCTGGTACTAGTCCTGTACGCCAGTATACTTCTGGTGCACTGGTCCTGTACATGTATACTTCTGGTACACTAGTCCCTGTACATAGTATATACTTCTTAATTTACACTAGCCACTGTACATAGTATACTTCTGATACACTAGTCCCTGTACATAGTATACTTCTGGTACACTAGTCCCTGTACACTTAGTATACTTCTGGTACACTAGCCACTGTACACTTAGTATACTTCTGGTACACTAGTCACTATACACTTAGTATACTTCTGGTACACTAGTCACTATACACTTAGTATACTTCTGGTACACTAGTCCTTGTACACTTAGTATACTTCTGGTACACTAGCCACTGTACACTTAGTATACTTCTGGTACACTAGCCACTGTACACTTAGTATACTTCTGGTACACTAGTCCCTGTACACTTAGTATACTTCTGGTACACTAGCCACTGTACACTTAGTATACTTCTGGTACACTAGTCCCTGTACACTTTAGTACTTCTGGTACACTGGTCCTGTGCACTTGGTATGCTTCTGAGTACACTAGTCCCTGTACACTTGAGTATACTTCTGGTACACTAGTCCTCTGCACTTGGTATGCTTCTGGTACACTGGTCCTGTACATAGTATACAGTACACACTAGTCCTGTACACTTAGTATACTTCACAATTTTACTGGTCCTGTACATAGTATACTTCTGGTACACTGGTCCTGTACACTTGTTATGCTTCTGGTACACTAGTCCCTGTACATAGTATGCTTCTGGTACACTGTACATAGTACTTTTGGTACATAGTCACTGTACACTTAGTATGCTTCTGTTTACCTGTTGCACTTAGTATACTTTTGGTACACTAGTCACTATACACTTAGTATACTTCTGGTACACTGTACACTTAGTATACTTTTGGTACACTAGTCACTGTACACTTAGTATACTTCTGGTACACTAGTCCCTGTACACTTAGTATACTTCTGGTACACTGTACACTTAGTATACTTTTGGTACACTAGTCACTGTACACTTAGTATACTTCTGGTACACTGTACACTTAGTATACTTTTGGTACACTAGTCACTATACACTTAGTATACTTCTGGTACACTAGTCACTGTACACTTAGTATACTTCTGGTACACTGTACACTTAGTATACTTCTGGTACACTAGTCACTGCGCACTTAGTATACTTCTGGTACACTGTACACTTAGTATACTTTTGGTACACTAGTCACTGTACACTTAGTATACTTCTGGTACACTAGTCACTGTACACTTAGTATACTTCTGGTACACTGTACACTTAGTATACTTCTGGTACACTGTACACTTAGTATACTTTTGGTACACTAGTCACTATACACTTAGTATACTTCTGGTACACTGTACACTTAGTATACTTTTGGTACACACTAGTCCCTGTACACTTAGTATACTTCTGGTACACTAGTCCCTGTACACTTAGTATACTTCTGATACACTAGCCACTGTACACTTAGTATACTTCTGGTACACTAGTCCCTGTACACTTAGTATACTTCTGATACACTAGTCACTGTACACTTAGTATACTTCTGGTACACTAGCCACTCTACACTTAGTATACTTCTGATACACTAGTCACTGTACACTTAGTATACTTCTGGTACACTAGCCACTGTACACTTAGTATACTTCTGGTACACTAGTCCCTGTACACTTAGTATACTTCTGGTACACTAGCCACTGTACACTTAGTATACTTCTGGTACACTAGTCCCTGTACACTTAGTATACTTCTGATACACTAGTCACTGTACACTTAGTATACTTCTGGTACACTAGCCACTGTACACTTAGTATACTTCTGATACACTAGTCCCTGTACATGGTATACTTCTGTTTACTGGTCCTGTACATAGTATACTTCTGGTACACTAGTCCCTGTACACTTAGTATACTTCTGGTACACTAGCCACTGTACACTTAGTATACTTCTGGTACACTAGTCACTGTACACTTAGTATACTTCTGATACACTAGTCCCTGTACACTTAGTATACTTCTGGTACACTAGCCACTATACACTTAGTATACTTCTGGTACACTAGTCCCTGTACACTTAGTATACTTCTGGTACACTAGTCCCTGTACACTTAGTATACTTCTGGTACACTAGTCCCTGTACACTTAGTATACTTCTGATACACTAGCCACTGTACACTTAGTATACTTCTGATACACTAGTCCCTGTACACTTAGTATACTTCTGGTACACTAGTCCCTGTACACTTAGTATACTTCTGGTACACTAGTCACTGTACACTTAATAGTTAAATAATTACGCCATCACGTTTACTTGTTGATGTTAAGAGCTGTTTGGAGGACCCCTAACACTTAAACACCCAGGCTGGCCACACTCAACAGCAAAAGGCTCGTCTGGCCACACTCAACAGCAAAAGGCTCGTCTGGCCACACTCAACAGCAAAAGGCTCGTCTGGCCACACTCAACAGCAAAAGGCTCGTCTGGCCACACTCAACAGCAAAAGGCTCGTCTGGCCACACTCAACAGCAAAAGGCTCGTCTGGCCACACTCAACAGCAAAAGGCTCGTCTGGCCACACTCAACAGCAAAAGGCTCGTCTGGCCACACTCAACAGCTCGTAAGAATGATCAACATGCATTTCTGCCAACTGTGAAATGCATCGGTGGCTCTTCAAACTTGTCTCTTGTTGGAGCTAAGTTGTTTTATGCCACACGGAGTTGAGAAACAGTGGCGTGGCGGCCATACTGGGTCACGGGGGAAGAATTGTTACCCTGAGATGATGTGCGTAATGGTCCAATCCGATACCGTATTAGGTCTGGTTAGGTGAGGTTACTTCCCTTGGGTTCAAGAGAGATCATTTGGGTTAGGCAGGGTTTCCTTTAGGTCAGGAGAGGTCATTTAGGTTGTTTTACTTCCCTTAGGTCAGGAGAGGTCATTTAGGTTAGGTTACTTCCCTTGGGTCAAGAGAAGTCATTTAGGTTAGGTTGCTTACCTTAGGTCAGGTTAGGCTACTTCAGTTAGGTCAGTAGAGGTCATGTTAGGTTAGGTTACTTCCCTTGAGTCAGGAGAGGTCATTTAGGTTAGCTTACACTTCCCTTAGATCAAGTCAGGTCATTTAGTTTAGGATATACTTCCCTTAGGTCAGGTTAGGTTACTTCCCTTGGGTGAGGAGAGGTCACTTAGGGCAGGTCATGTGGAGGAGGTTAGGTTAGGTCAAGTCACCGAAAACACGGTAAATCCATTGGAATATTACTCAGGTGATCAGGTGGGAGATAATGCATGCAATTGTTTCAGCGGACCAGCAAGCACAGGTCCCTCACTACTCGCTCACCCACCCTGCCCTCACTACTCGCTCACCCACCCTGCCCTCACTACTCGCTCACCCACCCTCTCCTCACTACTCGCTCACCCACCCTGCCCTCACTACTCCCTCACCCACCCTCTCCTCACTACTCGCTCACCCACCCTCCCCTCACTACTCGCTCACCCGCCCTCCCCTCACTATTAGGTGCTGACGAACAATTTGGTGGGCGGGCGTCACTGTGGTCGTCGTCAGGGTGTATAGGTGGTTGTATTGGCACTACTTCCGGGTCGTTACGTGGCTTCCTCTCCCCTCCCCGTGTATGTTTATGTATGTATGTATGTATGTATGTATGTATGTATGTATGTATGTATGTATGTATGTACTGGTGTATGTGTGTGTTATCTCTCGCCTTCTCTGAGTGTGAGAATCAACACAGCTGTATATTGGTTTCGTGGTCCACAAATACAGGTACACGAGACGTGGGTTTAGACCACGGTGCTCGGGGTTAGGTTAGGTTAGGTTAGGTTAGGCAAGGTTAGTGTAGTTGGCAGTGGTAGGTTAGTGTATGTGGTAGGACATTGTAGTGAAAGGTTAGTGTAATGTAGTAGGCTAAGTTAATGTAGAGTTAGATTAGGGTTAATTTAGCGAAGGATTACGTAAGGTCTAGTCAACGTTAGGTGAGCTGAAGATTAAGGTAGATTTTCATTTATGTGGGATTAGGTTGATTTACCGCTGTGATTATGTTACCTTAAGGTGTGATACAGAGATTGGTCTGGATCAACAGGTTACGGTGAGTTAGTGGGGGCGGTGTGCCAGAGGAGTGGTTGATGAGGTCGTGGGATGGGCCGTGAGGGAAGAGTAGTTGGAGATGGAGTGGGTCGTAGGGGGAGGGTTGTGAGTGTTGGGTCGTGGGGGTTGTAAGGAGAGGGTCGTGGGGGTTGTAGGGAGAGGGTCGGGGTTTGTGAGAAGAGGGTCGGGGGTTGTAAGGAGACGGTCGTGGGGGCTGTGGAGGAGAGGTCGGGGGGCTGTAGGGAGAGGGTCGTGGGGGGAGAAGAGGGTCGGGGGCAAGGAGTGGAGAGTGGGGGGGGGGAAGGAAGAGAGGGGGTGGGGGCCAAGGGGAGGGAGGGGGTTGGGGCGAGAGGGTCGTGACGGCTGTAAGGAGAGGGTCGGGGGGGTTGTAAGGAGAGGGTCGTGACGGCTATAAGGAGGGCGTGGGTCTGTTTATTTGTCTGTCAGTCTAGTGTGTGTGTGTGTGTGTGTGTGTGTGTGTGTGTTCTAACCCACCATCTTGTATTGTGTTTCTACCTAATCTAACTTAACCTTAACTAACTCAACCTAACCTAACCAAACCCTACATAATCTAACCTAACCATACCTGACTTAACCTTACTCTGCCTTTTTCTTCTTTCTTCCTTCTTCTTTCTTCCGAGTATATAAGATCCCAAGTTCGGAAGTTAATTAGTGAAAGAGAAAATGAGAAGAATGAAAGTTGATAAAGTTGGATAATGGAGCGTTTAAGGCGAGACTTGGCTAAAAGCGGAGAGGAAGAGGCGACGGTGTGGAAGATGGGGGAGGGAAGAGGAGAGGGGTGGAGGGAGGGTAGAGTTGGCGTGGAAGAGGGGGAGAAAGGAAGAGGGAGGGTAGAAACAGGAAGAGTGGAGGAGGAGAGAGGAAGGTGGGTGTGGAGACGGGAACAGACTGGAGGAGGGGAAGAATTAGCAGTAGAGAGAAGTAGGAGACGAGGAGGAGGAGTAGCAGAGAGGAGCAGGAGGAGGAGTAACAGGCAGAAGTAGGAGAACGAGCAGCTGAGAGAAGTAGGAGAGGAGGAGGAGTAGTAGCAGATAGATGTAGCAGCGAGAAGTAGGAGGAGGAGTAGCAGCGAGAAGTAGGAGGAGGAAGAGTAACAGCGAGAAGTAGGAGGAGGAAGAGGAGGAGGAGGAGGCTATAAAAACAGGTATCCCAGCAGGTGAAATAATTACCAAGGGTGGCTGGAGCCGACTGAGTTCGTAAACAAGATCTCACAGTCCCACGCACACGCTTGTTATCAGCCGATACCTGGTAAACACCTGTGCAATTAAGAATCACGTATCACCTGAAGATCAACCCCCCCCCCCCTTCCTTTTCCCAGCTAACCTAACCTAATATAACCCAATCTAATATGACCTAATCTAATCTAAGCTAGTTTTAATCTAATCCATCCCCTCCCGCACAGGTTAATTGTCTTGTCTCATCACCTGTCCCTCTACACACACGAAATAAAACTTATGAAATCACGCCCCGATCTTGTGTATGTTAGAGCGTGTCGAGCAAGACTCTATACCATATCTTTAAGGAGAACAAAGTAACAGTGTTGAATATTGGATAACACTATGGATAAGGATACGGCGTGATAAAAATGAAGACGAGACAAAACAGTAGAGAGGAATGAGGTAATATAGAAGAAGAATGACGTAGTGGTTATTGAAGAGTTGTCGTGGAGGAAAGAATTACAGTGGAATGAAAGAAGATTGAGTAGAGGAGAATGTGATAATAATGGATGAGCGAGAGTTGCGGAGAATAAGATAAATAAGTGATGAAACGAAGATATAAAGTGGTGGAAAGGAATGAGAATTAGGGGCGTGAGTGGCTCAGACATACATACATACATACATACATACATACATACATACATACATACATACATACACTACCAACCAGCTAGCTAAACAGGCACATCCAGCCAGAAAGAGACAGACAGACAGGCAGACAGACAGCCATTCAACCAACCAAAGAGATAGCCAGCCAGCGAAACAGACATGCAGACAGCCAGAGACAGACATGCATCCAGTTAGAGACAGACATGCAGACAGCCAGAGACAGACATGCAGACAGCCAGAGACAGACATGCAGACAGCCAGAGACAGACATGCAGACAGCCAGAGACAGACATGCAGACAGCCAGGACACAGACATGCATCCAGTTAGAGACAGCTAAACAGAGAGGGCGTTCCTATAACCGACTAACATGGGTGAAGGCGGAGCAGGGGGACACTTGGGGGGGGGGAGAGTTATGGTGTCTGTCTGTTGAGGTCGTCTCTAAGGTGCCATTATTTATATGTTTTGAGAGTAGTTGGTGACTGGCAACACTGTGAGGAGGGGCGGTGGGTGACTGGCAACACTGTGAGGAGGGGCGGTGGGTGACTGGCAACACTGTGAGGAGGGGGGGTTGGTGACTGGCAATACTGAGTTATGGTGGTTGATGAATATGGCAATTCTGAGTTATGGTGGCTATGGCAACCCTGACTTATTGTGGTTGATGACAGTGACAACCCTGATTTATGGTGGTTGGTGGCTATGGCAACCCTGATTTATGGTGGTTGAAGACTATGGCAACGCTGAGTTATAGTGGTATTAAATTGGTGCTTAGTTGTTTTTCAAAGGAAAGAGTTGGCGCATAGTGTTGTTGTTGTTCAGTGGGAGGGAAGGAGAGGTGGTGGTAACTGGAGGGAAGGCAGGAGGGTAGGAGAGATACCTTCCCATCTCCATCTACCACAATTAATATCAATCACTATCACCACCTACCTACCACCATCTATTACTAACCACTATCACCTAACCTACTACCTACCATCAACCACTACTACCACAACCACCATTTACCATACCAACCACCCACCAGAACCACCTACTACTTGCCATCAACCACTACTACCACAACGACCATTTACCATACCAACCACCCACCAGAACCACCTACTACCTACCATCAACCACTACTACCACAACCACCATTCACCTTACCACCCACCAACCACCCACCACAACCACCCACTACCACCAGCAACCACCCACCACAACCACCCACTACCTCCAGCAACCACCCACCACCTCCAGCAACCACCCACCACCACCAGCAAGCACCCACCACAACCACCCACCACAACCACCCACTACCTACCACCATTCACCACCCACCGCCACGGATAAGCTGCCCCACCTAGCTCACTTGGGTGCAAAACTTAAACCTTGTGGATATTTCCCTCTTGTGGGTCTCGTAACTGCGGCTCTCCATGTTCTAAAACCTTTACGGATTAGGCCGGCACCTTTTTTGTTGGGGAGGGGGAAGGGGTGGGAAGGGGAGGGCAAGGGGAAGACTAATTTGAGAGTGAAGTACCTCGAATGTGGGGTAAGCTTTATTGAATTATTTTATAGATCACCTGAAGTTTAGACCCCCCCCCCTTGATTATTTCACCTGAAGGATTAAACATTCTTGACTACCTGAGTGAAAGTTAGGTGAGGTTAGGTCAGGTCAGGTCGAGTTGGGTGGGGTTAAGTAAGGCTACGTTGAATTAGATTAGGTTACGTTAAGTTAGATTAGATTGTTAGGTGAGGTTATGCTAGGTCAGGTCAACTTAGGTGAGGTTATGCTAGGTCAGGT